ATCAAGTAGCAATGGGGGGGAGGGGGGAGGGGGAGGGGGAGGGGGAGGGGGAAGGGGGGGGGGTCGCTGATGGGGGTGAGTATGGTGTATGTTGGAGGAGTATGGTTTGGTTGGGGTAGTGTGATGATGATCAGCTACTGCTCGTCATCATCCGATCGATTCCTGTTGATGGCGGGAGGGGGGGGAGGACGAGGGGTGCCTCAGATCAGCAGCTGCTGCTTCTGGCCGCTGCGGAGCGAGGCCGCAGCGACAGGCTGGGCATCGGCGGGGAGGCGGCGGAAGCGGAGGGCGAGCGAGATGGAAAAAGCGGCAGTGGCAAGCATGTAGACGGCAAAGCCGAACCAGAAGAGATTGGAGAGTGCTTCGCCGTTGATGGCGGCGGAGAACATGAGCTGGAAGACAAAGAGCATAAAGGCGTTGGTGGAGGCACCCCAGATCTGAAAGACGGTAAAAAGGTAGGTGTACGTCTCTGTCCTCCGCAGCGGGGTGGCGAGCCAGTACTCCTTGTTGGGCAAGTTGACGTATTCCATGGGGGTGATGGTGATGAGCCAGCCGACAACAAGAAAGATGACCACCAGACCCCAGACCGTGGCCATGTACACGCCGAGCACCGTGCCCTTTGACGACCACGAGTTTGGGTTTCCGCTCCCGTCAAAGTGCGACGGGACTCGCGACGGGAGACGGTCCATGTAGATGACTACGGGGAAGGGGGGCAGGGGTGAGTCCATGACAGGGGGGGAGGGGGAGGGGGGGGCTGGCGTGTGCGACTCGGCAAGGGTGGCAGGGCAGCCGACGTACGGGCATGGACGGTGCAGACAAGGGCAACGAGCAGGGTGGTAAAGGTGGCCAGGAAGACCCTGTCACGCGGGGAGAGCATGGCTCAAGTTTCGGTGGTGCGCGAGTGGAGGGAGAGAGATGGATGGTCACAAGTGGTCGCTCGCCTCGCAATGTGCGAGGTGAACGGCGGCGGCAGGAGGGTGTTCGGCTAGAGCGTGTTCACTGGATACCGACAGCCCATGTGGTGTACGGGATGCTAAAGGGTGTTGACAAAGTAGTTGCCGGCGTTCATGACGCCGCCCATGGGGGCAGCGCCGGCAGCGCCACCGGCGCCCGGGTAGGTGAGGAGGGCGGGCCCGTCGGTGCCCATCATCATGTTGACGCCGACTTCTGCCGAAGCGGCCTCCTGCTCAGCCTCGACGGCCTCACGGCGCGAGTTTGCGGCGACCAGCTGGTCGACCTTGGAGGTGTAGTCCTTGGTGACCTGGACCATGTACGGCATCATGTAGTCCATGATGCGGTTGCGCCAGGCGAGCTCGAGGACGACGTCGGGCTTGACGAGATCGTAGCAGGTGAAGAGGGCGGCGGCGAAGCACTCGTGGTTGCCCTCTGCGACAAAGAAGCGGAGCAGGTCCTCTGCGAGCTCGGGCTCGCCCGAGTCGGCGACGGTGACCATGGCGTCCTTGAACAGGCCGTCCGACTTGGAGAGCTCGAGCGACTGCTGCCAGCGGCCGTTGGACTTGTAGAGCAGGGCGGCGATGCGGCGGAACTCGAGGAGCTCGTGCTTCTCGCAGCGGACGGCAAGCTCGAGGGCGTCAAAGGCGTCATGCGACTCGATCGACTCGCGGAGGGCGGCAAAGTCCTCCTCCTCGATGAACAGCTCGTTGACGGCCTCGTTGACCGCGGCGTTGTTGACGGTCTGGATGTCGAGGAGCCACGGCTTGATGAGGGCGAGGACAGAGCGCTTGCGGGCGATGCCGACGACACGCGCCGGGTCGACCTTTGCGGTGATGGTGTGGAGGAGGTCGACAAGGAGCATCGGCTGCTCGTCGATGTAGAACGAGACGGCGCGGTAGGCGACGTTGGCCGACTTGACGTTAATGATGACGTCCTTGAACTTGACATGCTCCCACGCGAGCGCCGAGTGCTCGATCATGATCTCGATGGCGCGGTCGTGCTCATCGTAGTGGACGCAGAGGAAGACCATCTCGGGCCACATGTGCGCGACCTCGCATGCGCGGAGAACCTTGGGCACGTTGATCTTGGCGCGGAACATCTTGAGGTGCTCGAGGAGCGACTCGCGCTGGTACTTGGAGTAGAGGATGGCGAGCTCGGTGAACATGCCGGTGTGGGCGCGCTCGTCGCCGAGGCCGCCCTCGATGAGGGCGATGATCTCGTCAAAGTGGCCGCGGGCCTCGTAGAAACGGATGAGCGAGTCCAGCTCCTCGGCGTTGACAATGATGTGCAGGCCGCAGATGCGGGCGAGGCGGAACTTTTCCTGCTCGACACACGCCGCGTTGACCTCCTTCCACGTCTGGATGTTGTTGGCCTTGGATGCGGCGTCAACGGCGGCCTGGTACTCGCCGAGGCGGACGAGCGTGGTCGCCAGCCGGGCGTAGTTGGAGATGTTGTTGAAGAGGATCTTGGCGGCGGCATAGAGTCCCTCGCCAAAGCAGCGCTCGCCGACGTTGAGGATCTGCGCGCCGTGCGGGCCGTTGATAAAGTCCTCCAGATCCGAGAGCTGCTCGGTCCGCGCGTAGGCGTAGCAGAGCTCGGTCTCGATGGCCGTCTCGCGAAGCTTCTTGCGCGCCATCTGCAGGAAGCGGACGAGGTCGGCAAAGGCGCCGGCCTCATTGGCTGCCGTGATGACCACATCGTACTTGGAGGCGTCGTCGGCCTTGATGTACGCGTCGACACCGGCGGCAATGTCACCGGCGGTGAGCTGCGACTCGGCAAGCGACGACCAGACCTCGGGCATGTCAACCTTCTTGGCAAAGTCTGTTGCCCGCTCGAGGTCCTTGAGGTAGTTGCCGAGCACGTCGACAGCCTCCACGTTGAGGTCAAACTTGGCAAAGGCGAGGAAGGCCTCCTCGTACAGCTCGGCGCCGATGCAGATGTTGGCAATCTGGACGGGCACAAACTTGTCGAGGCGCTCGATGTACTCGCGGACCCGCGAGGTGTCGGCCTTGACGGCGGTGATGATGAGGAGGGTCTGGAGGTTGCGGTTACCGGCAAACCGGCCACTGTCGTCGAGCACAATCTTCTCCAACAGCTCGATGAGCTCGTTCGGGAGCTCGGCGTCCATAAAGGCCTTGACCGCCACAGAGACCTTCTCCGGCTCGGTCTTGGTGGTGAGCGCCGACTGGACCACAGCGTCGATGAGCTCGCGGCGGTGCTCGTTGTCGGCGACCAGGACCGTGGCCCAAAGGTCTGCGTCGGCCCGCGCGACGAGGTACCGCGCCTGGTCCTTATACAGCGAGTTCTCGTTGGTGACGGCAATGAGCTCGGCATCGCACGTGCCCTTGGTGTACGCCACCACGGCAAGGAGCGGCTCGCGCTTCTCGCAGAACTTGCCGACCACAAGCGGCTCGTAGAACTCGTTCGTCTTGAGGAACTCCTCGGGAGAGTTGGACGTCTCGACGTAGATCTTGGCGAGGGCGTTAAAGGTGGCGGCGTCGGTGGCGCCGGCACCGGCGCGCTCCTCGAGCCACGGGCGGAGGAGCTTGAGGCGAGAGCGCTTCTCGACCTCGTCGATGAGCTCCTGCGCCGGGCACGCGTCCTTGACAAGGAGAACCAGCTCGCGGACGGTGTCCTCGTTGGCGTCGAGGTCGAGGAGGGTGCCGATGACGAGCGGGGCGCGGAGGGCGTTGACCTGGCGGATGTAGATCTCGATGTACTTCATCATGTTGTTGGCGTAGAGGTAGCGGGTGAGCTCGTCGACAAAGTCAAAGCGGTCGCAGACAATGATGAGCGGAAGCTGGTCCGGCAGCTGGGCCTCCTTGAGGAAGTTCTTGGTCCGCTCCGGGTCGTAGCAGTTGGAGTCGCGGCAGATGCGAGTGACCTCCTGCAGCTGGTTCGCCTTGGACGCCGCCTCGATGTACTTGTAGTGAACGTCCGGGTCCTGCGAAAAGTTGACGATGGAGCCGAGGTAGAAGAACAGGCCCTCGACCGACTTGTGCTTCTCAAACAGGGCAATGAGCTCCTGCGGCGTAAACGGCTCCGAGTACTTGGTGGCAATCTGGATGACAACCTGCAGGTTTTGGCGGAGGTTGGCGGCGAGCATCTGGTCGAGCGCCGCGAGCGCGCCCTCGATCGAGATCTTGCCAAAGTACGGGACCAAAAAGTCGGCGCCGCCGAGGTTGGCCGGCGGGACCGAGGTGAGGATGCGGGTAATGTCGGCAATGTCCGAGTAGTTCTCCAGCGCACGCTGGAAGAGCCCGGTCTTCTCGCACAGCTCGGCGACGCGCTGGCGGTTGTAGTGCGAGAGCATGTCGTTGCCGAGGATGGCGTCGGCGACCTGCGGCGCGGCAACCAGACTCATCTCGAGGAGGCGGGTCTGGAGCGCCGCATCCTCCTCGCGGTCAGGCTTGAGGACCTCGAGGAGGAAGCCGGTCGCCTGCTGGATGAGGTTGCACCGGGCAAAGACGTCGACAATGGCCGAGACGTCAACCGAGCCCATGGCCTCGCCGCCCTGCACAATCCGCAGCGCAAGGTCCTTGGCGGCGTCCGGGTTCGACAGCGCAATCGAACCGAGAATCGAGATCCAGTCCGGCGTGTAGTTGGCGCGCTGCGCGTAGACCACAATGTTGTCAAACTGGCCGGTCTCCGCGAGGCACTGCACCACCTTGGGCGAGACCTCGGCGCGGAGGTAGACCGAGAGTGCCAGCTTCGGGTTGCTCGCCTTGAACAGGTCGCCGAGCTCCTCCGAGCACTCCAGCTTGTCCTCGGTAAGCCACTGCTCGAGCAGCTGCATCTTGCCCTGGGCCACGACCGGGCGCGCGAGCTGCATGGTCTCGTACGCGTTGAGCTTGGTTGTCTCGAGGAGGACGTTAAAGTACTGCAGAATGGCCGGAACGTTGTTGACCGGCGGAGCCTTTTGGAAGAGCGCAATGGTCTCGGGCGTCCGCAGGATGCCGCGCGGCGACTGAGCAGCAATGCGGGCGGCGCCGGCGACGTCGCCGGCGGCAAACAGCCGCTGGAACTGGGCCTTGAACAGATCGTCGGCGCCCGGCAGCGAGTACCGCGACGCCCACTTGACCGCCAGCGGCACGTTGCCCAGCGTCTGCTGGATGTAAGGCACGATGGTGTCCGGGTTCACGCCCACCGTCAGCACCTGACCCTTCTTGTTGATGCCGATGATGCCGTCGGTCGCCGCGTGCAGCGCCGTGACAAAGATGGTCTCACCCGAGATCCGGTTCATGTACAGGCACGTGCCTGACTCGATGTCGTACAGGTGGATGTAGCCAAACTTGGTGACGAGGAACACCGTGTTGTACTTGGGCGAGACCTGCATCGAGACCGGAAAGTCGGCGGCAGCCTCAGGCGGGAAGAACACGTTGACCGTCTTCTTGGCATACGCCGTCGCGCCCTCCTCACGGCCAATCTCCACAATGTTGAGCTTCGAGTCGTCGCCGTTGCGCGAAGCAAAGACAAACAGGTTGTTCTTCGGCCCGCCGGCCTCGGCCGCAAAGTCAAAGAACGCACACGCGTGACCCGGAATGTGCTGCACCTGCTGCCGCTCGAGCGAGTACAGCTGCATCGTGCCCACAACCTGCGAGCCCGAGAGCGAAATGCCCACCACCGCAGTCCACTTGCCGTCACCAGACATGCGGTACGAGATGATCTGCGTCCCCACAAGCTCCGGAATCCGGTCGCAGATCTTGACAGGCGCAGACGTGCCCTCCATCGACCAGTGGTACACCGACGACGACGTCACGATCGCCAGATTCTTCACGTCCACCCACTTCCAGAACTGCACATCTTCCGTCATCGTGTACTCCTTCATCATCGACTTCATGTCCAGGTTGAAGATCTGGAGCTGGTTCTCCGCACGCAGCGCAAGCACCTTCACCTCCGGATTCATCAGCACCGCCGTCGCAAGCATGTTGATCCGCTGCGGCGTCTTGGGCGCGTTCACGTCCACCATCACAACCTGCGCCTTGCCGCCCACAGTCTCGCGCACGCAGATGTACTTGTCCGACTCGAGCGTCACGGTATCGAACGAGATCGATTCCTCCTTGATGCCCAGCGCCGTGAGCTGCAAGGTGTATGAGAGGGGGGGAGGGGGAGGGAGGGGGGGTGAGTGTGAGAAGAGCAGGAAAACATCTTCTTTGCGCGCATGTGGGCTAAAGTCCAGCTCCGCGTCAGCGAACAGTGCGGGCGAAGAGAGTGAAAGGCTTCAAGGCAAAATGAAGTGGGGGTGCCGCAGCACTCGATCTTTGCGGGGGGGGGGGGGGGGGCTAGCGGTGGGCAAGGCGAATCGGCAGATGGCGACAAGCGCGCATGCGACTGTGAGCGGGGAGAGGCGGGCGTCGGCGGTGGGTCAGCAGCGGCGTGACGCGGTCGGCACCGAGCCGCGGCTTGCGGGCGGCAGCGATCGATCCTCGCCCTGGGAGGGACAGAGCGGTGGCAGGGGGCGCTAGCGGGGTGGGAAATGGGAGGAATGTTGGTAGGAAGAGGTGGAGCGGCTGCATGTGGCGGCGGTCCAGTGCTGGGCGAGCGTAGCCAGTGGTGCAGGGGTGGCCGAGGTGAGGAACACCCCACAGGTCGCGCCCCCTGAATTTTTTTCCCCTTCGTCGTTACCCACCACCTCCAGCGACCCTGGCAGGGCATGAAGTGCACGCCAGTGGCTCACTGCAGCAGCTGTACGTACCTTGAACAGCTCTTGAAAAGCAATCGGAAGCTCCGAGGTAGCCGCCATGTTGCTTCAAAGTTGAGTGTGCCGAGGATGGATTCAGTAGCGGCTGTCCGAGGAAAGGGTGGGGTGGGGCGGAGGGGAGGGGGAGGGGGAGAGGCGGGGAGGGACTGGCTCGCTCGCTAGCTACCGCTGGCTCTTTGCGGTGTGGCTGGCGGTCACAAGCATTTCGGTCGGGGCTTTTCGTGAGCGGCGTGACGCAAGCATGACCGACACGATTGTCGGGGGTGGGATTCATTGCCGATAGTCGAGCGAGCCATTGTCCACTTGCTCGTGTTGGAGCGGAGGAGGGGAATTGGGGTGGGGCAACGCTACGGGACACCAGGAATGCTGGTGACGGTCATCGATTGCGGACGGCGCGGAGGCCGCCGCCGCTTGGGAGGGGGCGGGAGGGGCGGCCCACCTGCAGCCGCAGGACTTCCGATGGGCGCTGTCGTCGACGGCATCATCATTGACAACGGGCGCCGTGGCTTGCCTGGTGACGGCGGGAGGCGTGGCACAGAGACGGCCTGGACGGACGGTGGTGCCACAGACGACGGCGAGGCTGGCGGATCCGAGACCCGCCGCGGGAGCGGGCCGGGGCTTGCGGCCACGCTCGCCAGCGCAGACGCGAGTCCCGGCACTGATGTCGCCGATGACGACGACATGCCGGCAACTAGGATCTCTGCAAAGAACGCATCGTCGTCGGGGTCGGCGGGGAATGTGCCCGAGTCTGACGCGGATGCCGCTGACGCAGATGACGAGAGCAGCGGGTTGTCATAAGCTGCCGACGCCGTCAGCTCGATCACGTCAGACGTGTCGAGATAGAGGCGTGCTACGGTGGCGGCCGACGTGGCGTCCGGCGGCATGACCGCATCTGCACTCAAACCATATGCAGCGTAGTTGCCAAACGGTGAGCGGAAGACGGTGACGCCAAGCAGATCATTCTCGTCGGGCAGGGCTGCCGCAGCAGGCTGGATTGGGATGGCGGCGCCAGCAGCGCGCGCTGCGGCGCGTTCCGCCCGTGCCGCCCGGCGGGCCGCCTTTTCGGCCTCAAAAGGCGTGCCGTACGCGGCTACAAAGGCGTCAGCAAAGCCGCGGCGCCGCGCTGCGTAACTGTGCTTCCGGTCTTTGGCGTCATACATCGGCGGAATCGGCTGTGGAAGCGGGCCTTCGCGCCGCGCGCCGGCAAAGACATGGCGCAGCTCAAGCGGAGGAGTCACCATCGCAATGGTGTCAGCAAACCGGTTAGCCATGCTCACGTGCTTCCGCAGCGCTTCCGGCGGAAGCAGCGCTGCGTGCGCTTTGGCGAGAAAGGCCGAGTACCCGCGCGAGAGCTGCGCCGCCACCATCTCGCACTGAGACGCAAGCTGATGTCGCTCCTCTCGCCAGATGGCCACGACACGGTCGTTAAAGGTGGCGATGGCCGAGTCGTACGAGTGTCGGGCGCGATCCTTGATTGCCTCGGCCTCGGCCTTTTTCTCCTGCGTCTTGCGCTTGGCCTTGTCTTTCATGGTCATGTGTCCCTTGAACAGCGTTTCCTTGATCTCGGCTAGATCCTCGCCCTTGGCCAGGTACGCCTTCCGGACGGTGACAACATCGTTCCACAAGCTCTCGAGCTTGCGCCGCAGCGCCTCCATCTCGCCCGCCGCTAACTGGATCTTTTCTGCCAGCCGAGTACGAATAGACTCGGTGCTCTTGCTCGCGGCCTCGAGTCCATCAGCCTCGAGCTCGGCCTGGCGCGCCTGCTTGGTCACCACCGTCATCAGCGCCGTCACCCCGCACGTCGCCGGTGCGTCCTCAGGATACCGCTTGTGCAGCCTCGTGGGCGATGCGCTGACAACCGCTTTGCGCAGCGCCTTGGCATAAGCCCGCTTGGCCGCGCTCACCGCCGCCACAAACTCGCCCGAGACGCCGTCAAACATACCCAGCCCATCCTCAATGCCGCCCAGCGCGCCGTCGAGACCGTCGAACATCGCCCTGTCAACGTCGGCAAATGTACCTCCTCCACTGCCGCCCGCTCCAGAGCTCGACCCTGCTGCCGCCATCGTATCGAGCTTCGTTGCTCGCTGCCTTTTCTGTGTAGCGTGTGACAGAGACGGAAGGGGGGGGGGGGGGGGGGGGGGGGGGGAAGACTTTGGTCGAGTCGTGTGGCTTGCCACCGCCGCCGCCGTGTCTGTGACGGTGCGGAGGTTTGCAACACGTGGTCGCTTGCGGTGGTGGAGAAATTGACAAGGTTAGAGGGTTGGCGTGGGGGTGGGGGGTGGGGGGTGGAGGGTACCAATTTTTCGACCAGTCGGGGGAGGGGGGTGGCGGGGGTGGCCGGGTGGCAGCTGACCCCCTTCGCCGCTTGGCTTGGCTTACCCCCCCCCTCTGGCTAGGCTCTACCCCCTCCCGGCCCACCACCTACCACCCCACACCACCCCATTCCACACCCCCCCCCTCACACCCCCCACTACCCCCACCACTACCCCCACCATACCCCCCCATCACTACCCCGACTCCCTGTAGCCATGTCCACAGCACCTCCGTTCCTCCTCCACAGGACGGCGGTAGAGCTGGAGGAGCGGGGCGTGTGGGCTGGCCGCCTCGAGGCAGCCCAGCACAGGGTTGTGGCGAAGGCCCTCTCGTCGGCCCCTGCCTTTAATGCATGGCTACGGTGTGAAGGCCACTCGGCGACAGACACGGCTCTTGCTGTCCGTGGTGTGCTCTTTGAGCACATGCTCGGCCTCGTCTTTCCTGGCGCAACACACTCGGTGGCCCCAGACGTGGTGGCAAAGCTCGCCGCAGAGGTCGAGCCGCACAGAGCGGCCGCCTCTGCTCGTACACCTCGCCTCCACACTTTGGGTGTAGAGGAAGGCCGTCGTGCGTCGCCGGCTCAGGACAGATTGCGGCATCTCAACGTTGAGGACGATGAGGATTTTGACGACGACGACGATGACGAGAGCGGCGGCGACGGCGGCATGGTGAAGGATGATGATGACGACGACGACGACGACGACGACGACGACGATGGCGAGGACGACGAGAACACAAGCGGCGGAAAGAAGCTTACCGCCGAGGGCCAGGAGGCATGTCCGTTTGCGTGGCAGACTGTCGACCCGGTGCAGCGGATCATGCCGATGGGCATGGCGGTGCCTGGCGCGCCGCAGCTGTATCGGCCGCCGGGCGGGCCAGAGCCGATCAACGACGTCTACCACACGATGGAATACGATCTGGAGGACTACGTGGCGTTCTACAACGAGGGAGGCCGGATGCACATCAAGCTCGACGACGACGATGACAACAGCAAGGGCAAGAGCGAAGACAGTGAGGGCGAGGGCGAGGGTGGAAGCAAGGCTGCTGAGGCGGGGCCGACAGGAGCAAAGGCCAAGACAGGCAAGGCGGCGTCGCGACAGTCACGCTGGGCCAACTCGGACATCGAGGGCATGGAGGAGCTGTATGGTGGCATCGAGAAAGTGCTCAACAACCTCTCGCGCTACACCCACGCGCGGCCGTTCCTCAAGCGAGTCCGCGAAATCGACGCGCCGGGCTACTTTGACATCATCAAAACCCCCATGGACATCGAGACCATGTCGCGGAAGCTCGACAAGGGTGTGTATCAGTCCAAGGCGGACTTTGTGGCCGACCTCGACCTCATGTTTGCCAACTGCCTCGAGTACAACACCGATCCGACGCTCAAGATCCGGGCCGACCTCGCCAAAACCCAGGCTCGGACAGAGGTCCAGCTCGCCAAAGTGCCCGATGTCCGGCTCCGGCCACGCGCAGTTCCAACACCGCCGCCGCCGGAGCTTGACGACGACGACCTCGTGCCGGACGAATCGCTGCCGCGGCTCACTCGCGACTGGCGCGTGTCAACCCGCCACGCCCGTGCCCGTGCCCTTGCCTACACACTCGAGCAGCGCGAGCTCCCGTTCGAGTCACGTGAGGCGCTCATCCGCGCTCCGATTGCAGGCTACGCGTTCATGGCCGAGAGCCCCGTCGACCCCGCCGCACTCGCCGCCTTTCCGGAGCTGGCCGCCGTCGACGTCTTCCCTGCCCTTCGCGGCGCCGCCGAGCTCGACGAGCGGCCGCCGCAAGCTGCGCCGAGCGTGTGGCACCCGCCGCCGATCCCTGCCAACGACGTGACGCGCTCGATTGCGCTTGTTGACTCGGTCCGCTCCCAGCAAGGCAAGCTTGTCCGCCAGCTGTACATGCTCCGCAACGAGAAGCCGCCTGTCGACGACGTGCCTGCGCTTCGGCCTGCGGCACACGCCAAACTCCCATCGCTGGCGCTCGACGCGCCGCTCTCGACGCCGGCCGCCGCTGCGGTGTCTGCACGGCTATCGCCGGCCCTCGCGCGCACACTCACCGAGCAGTCGCTGGTGCTGCTGGCGGCGCGTGTTGGTTTTGAAGCCGTCGACAAGTCTGCGCTGGCGCTGCTTGCCGACGTGGTTGGCTCGTTCATGGGCAAGGCGGCGCGAATCATGCGGACGCTCCGCGATGCTCATGGGCGCTCGGTCGACGACGCTCACCTCCTTCCGCTCGCCTTTCGCGTCATGCAAGGCCCGGATCCCGAGTCGCTGGTCATGTTCCGGACCGAGACTAAGCTCTACACCGCGCGGCTCGAGTCGGCATCCAACGTCTTGCGGACAACCTACCGCAGCATCCTCGCCGACCCGACTGCAGCGCTACAGGCCGACCTCGAGACAGACTCACTTGTCTCCGGCTTTTTCGCCCGCGGCCTCGACGTCGACGTGCTCGGCCTCGGGCCCGAAGCGGCGGCCATGGTCCACGCCATCCTCCGCTCGCAGCCGATGGCCTCGGTCCGGCTCACCGAACCGCCGCCGGTCAAGGCCACGTCTGCAGAGCGCTTGGCCGACTTTGGCCTCTCTGCACCGCCGCCGCTGCCTGAGCTCGACCCGTCGGCACACCCGCCGCTGCTGGCAAATGCTCTGGCATCCGCACTGGACGCTGCCGCGCCGTCGCGCTCGTCGCGCAAGCGCAAACGCTCGGCCTCCAAGCCTGCTCCGCCGTCGTCGCCGCTCGACCGCGACGCCGACGACGACTCGGACTTTGTCGAAGACATGCCCGGAACCCCGAGCGAGCCTGCGACCAAGAAGAAGAAGACCGCCGCTGCTGCCGCGTCGGCCCGCGCTGCTTCCACGCCTTCGCGCCGATCGCGCCGTCGCTGACTGCCGCCGCCGTCTTAAACTGGTCGTAGAGCCCCTCGTCTCTCCCCTCTCTCCCCCCCTCACACCTCTGCCGTGGGAAGAGCATACTCGCCATTTCGCTTGCATTCGCCCAGCGTACCACTCGAGCAGCCAGTTTCAGCCTCGTCCGCCTTATGAGCTCGGTCCCGTCCCAGCTCTGGGTCGACGTCTGCGCCAACTTGAGCAACCGCGAGTTTGCCGACGACCTCGACGATGTGGTGGCGGCTGCAGGTATGTTTGGCGGGAAACTAGTGAACGTCGGGAGTGACACTACTCGTTTGATGGTGATGGGGCGTGTACTGATTACTTGAGCTGGGAGCCGTTGCGTGCTGGTGCGTGTGTGGGTGGGTGTGTAGTCGAGGTGGGTGTTACCGGCGTGGTCATGCCGGCGTCGGACCTGGCCGACGCGCGGCGGATCGAGGCCATCGCAGGGTCGCTGCCTAATGAGATGTGGTGCGCGACCCCGGTCGGAGTCCACCCGTGGGCGGTGAGCGAGGAGCTGCTGGCAAGCGATGGGAGTGGTGATCTCGATGCGGGCTGTGCGAGCGAGATGATCGAGCTGGTGACCGGCGCCGCGAGCTCGCGGAGCGCGTGGATCGGCGAGATCGGGCTTGACTACTGCGACGGATGTCCGGCGGATCGAGAGGTCCAGCGTCGCGCCTTTCGGGCGCAGCTGAGACTGGCATTTACCCACGGGTGGCGGGTGTACTTGCACTGCCGGGATGCGTTTGATGACTTTGTGGCCGACCTGAGCGACGAGGCGAAGGCGGCCGGCGTGCCGATCTCGGGCATCCTACACTGCTTCACCGGATCGTCGACTCAGGCGGCGGCGCTGGTCGATCTCGGCCTGCACATCGGAGTGACCGGCATGGCGACGGCTAAAGGCCGCCTTGGCCGCGAGCTACGCGAGGCAATCGTTGCTGCGGTCCCGCTTACCTCGCTGATGGTGGAGACCGACGCGCCATGGCTCCTGCCGCGAATCAAGAGCGTACAAAAGGCCGCCAAAGACGGCAAGCGCAACGAGCCGCGGTTTCTACCGGCGCTGGCGGCACCGCTGGCGGCGGCGTACGGGGTGGCGCTCGACGAGTTTGCGCGACAGACGACAGCCAACGCCGAGGCGCTATTCCGGCGATGATCACGGGAGCTTGCCGCGTCGAAGGGGTGCCGGTCGTGCGTTCTTGGTCAGCCGCGATGCGCCAGCACCGCTCCCAGCCGAGAATTGCGAGCGCTTGGCAGCCTTCTTGGCCCGCTTGGCGGCGCGCGAGCCCGAGCCCGCCACAAAGTTCTGCCATGATGTGATGCGGGCGCTGGCGACAGCCTCGGCAGCTTTTTTTCGTGCTTTCGTCGGAGGCTGCGGACGCGCGCTGCCTTGCGCTCGCGGACAGCCGGTGGATCGGTCGGCAGAGGCTCGAGCTCGGGCGGGACAACAAACGGCGAGGCGGTGGCGGCGGTGCTCTCGCTCCGCTTCTTGCGCTTGCGCGAAGACTTGGTCCCCGCAGCCTCGGCCATGGCCGCAGCCTGGCTCTCCCCCACCGTCCGGAGCGACTCGGGCGGAAGCCTGACCTTTTCGGATCCGTAGCCCGGATAGTGGACAAGATACAGTCCATCTGCAAAGTCCTCCACCACCGCCGTGTACCACTTGCCGTCTGTCGGGTAAAGGGCCGACACGGTCTCTCCAGGCCCAAATCGCCTTGCCACGGTGGCCAGCAGCGGATCAAACTTGTCCTTGGGGTGGGGTGGGGCAACGGGTGCGGGTGCGGGTGCGGGCGCAGGAGGGACAAGGGCAGGGGCGGCCGCCGAGGGGGCGGCTTCAGGGGCGGGCACGGGTACAGGGGAGGCGGCCGGTGGGTCGACAGCGGCGGGTGGTGCGGGGACGGCGGTATGCTCCACAGCAGCAAGTAGCTCCTTGGTGGTCGTGCTGTGTGGGTGAAGGTAGTGTGCATGAGTACAGTGGGGAGGGGGGGGGGCGACTCGGGCAGGGGGGAAGGGGGACACGGGGGCGCAGCGGTACGTACATGAGCTCATCCATCTCGGAGACGAGGGCCTGCATCTCATCGTCAGTGGGATCGGCTGCCACAGCGGCAGCTAGTTCCGCACGTTGCGCCTCGTGCTCGGCAAGCTGGGCACGAAGGGCCTCGGGGCTTTCGTCGTCCATGGCAGGCTGGAGAGGAGTGGGTGGCGTGCCGGTGGCGGCGATGCTGGCGGTGCCGGGCGGGAGCGCAGCGGGCGGCGGGCGGCATCATTTAGGAAGGACGGGACCAGGTCGTGATCTTGTTGCGGTGATCAACGTAGAAGACCTGGCCATTGGGTCGCGCTTCTCCTCCCAGAAAGGCGGAAGCGGGGCCTGCGTGCAGGCGGCCCTCTGCTCGTACTCGGGCGGAAGTCGCCAGTGCTTCTCGCCGGTGGTGTGGTCTACGTAGTACTGTCGCCCGTCGTCGGCGCGCATCTCCTCCCAAAACGGCGGCAGCTTGTCGAGCGACTCAGCCGATCCGAGCGTTGGTGGGCTGGGCATACTTGTGGTGCCTCCGTGCCTAGCTTGAGCCATGACGCGCTCCAATCCGACAACAGCGTCGGTGTTGTGCGGCTCGATCGAGACAGCAGCCACGTAGTCGACCATGGCGTCATCGAATCGCTTCTGCGCCTCGGCCACCTGCCCACGAATCACGAGCGCGTCGACGTACTCTTCACGTTCGCTGAGCACTGCATCAAGTTCGCGGTGCGCGAGTGAGTAAGAGCTGCGCGCCAAGTAAACCCGCGCTGCAAGGATCCGCGCCCGATGGACAAACTCGCGCGGAATCGTGCTGTCGGTCACCGCCAGCTCCATCACCGTCTCAAGAGCACCCATGGCGTCGGCGTATCTCTCTGCAGCCAAATCAATCTCGGCCGCGTTGTACAAGCCCTGCGCGAGCGCATACGTCGAGTCGGCAGGCGCCGCAGCAGTGGGTACACCCGCGGGTCCACCGACGACAAACGTCGGCTGCGGCGCTGGCCGTGCATCAGCAGCCGCTGGCACAGTCGACGCTCCTGGCTCCGGCAGTAAGTCATACGGCGGCAGGTAGTTCGGCGGCGGGCCTAGCGGAGGGCCTCCCGGTGGCGGTGCAGATGCCGGTGGTGCAGATGCCGGTGGTGCAGATGCCGGCGGTGCAGATGCCGGCGGTGCAGATGCCGGCGGTGCTGCACCGGGCTGCTCCGAATCTTCAAACTGCAGCAGCGGCATCGAGGACAGTGGCACGTATCCGGGTGCTTGAAGGGGAACATCCATCTGGACGCCAGGCACGTGCGACGGCTCGGGCCCGCGGGCAGTTGAGAAGAGGCCAGGTAACGGGTCGAGGACGAGCTGACCAACCAGCGTGCCAACGACCTGCGACTGCCCGCTCGAGCTCATGCGAACTTCCACTTTGATGTCGGCCGACGCCGGCGGGGACGCCAACGAGTCGTCCGTCCGCGCGTAACCTGTGTCAGCGTAGGCCAGCGAGAACGGGATGAAAGCTACGCCCTCGACGGTCGACGAGAGCCTACCTTTGCGGCGGATGGTAATGGTGAGGCCGCGATGGACAAGATCGGCGCGAGTTAACACCGCATCGAGGCGGACAGGAAAGTTCCACGACGGATGCTCGGCCGCCGCGGTGGCCGACGAGGTCAGACTCGCCGAGCCGTGTTCTGTGCCTGCGAGCACGCCGCCGAACCACGACATGACAGCCACACACTTGATGGGCACCGGCTCGTCAGTGTTGCGGATAAAGTTGAGGTTGTTAAGCCGAATGGACACCCGCGGAGCGAGCGAGATCTCCATGGCGACGGTGACCACAGCTCCCGAGTCGAGCACCAGCTCGTGGTGATGCGGGAGAGACAGAGCGTTGGCCAGCGAGAGTGAAACCATACCACATTGTCGAGGCACCCCGATCATCCTGGCCTTTGTCATCAACTCGATCTTCAGCACCATGTCAGCCAGACTCGCCCCCAGGCTCGGTGCATACTCGATGGCCTGTTCCCATCCGTCGAACGTCGCACTGTTCGTCACATCAGCCTCGGCGGTGGGTGTTCTTACCACCATCTGGCCACCGCCCACGCCAAAGCGAAGGAATGGGGTGGGGCATGGCGAGGGCGGAAGGACCACAGCCGCACTGTGGAAATGTATCACAAACGGAGGGCGGTCCATGACTGGCCGGTGGGGGAGTGGAGTGAGAGCTGGGAAGTGTGCCGGCAGGGCTGTGGTGCGCTGGTCCCGGCGCTGCCCACAGCCGCATGCGCTACTGCCGAACATCGGCATGGATCGTGATGTTACCTTTAACCTACCGTTCGCCTCGCCCACTGCATTGAAGACACTGCTGAGCCCGGCGTCCTTGATCCCGCGGCGCTGCGGCCCAGGCCAGTTCACCACCGCATGCAGCGATGTCAACGCACCGGCATCTACCAGCGCTCCTTGGCAGCACGCCGATCCTCGATGGCCGACCGGTTCTTGACGCGGTTGCGGCGCTTGAACCGCGCCTTCTGGCGCTGCTGGCGCTTGAGCCGCGAGCGGACAGCGGAAGTGTCCTTCTTGGGATCGTACTCTTTCTTCCGGCGGCGGCGGCGACGACGGGTGCCGGACTGCTCCGCACCCTCGGCAGCCTCGGCATCGACCTCTGGTGCGACCTCGGAGCTTCGATTGTCGCCATCGACATCGCCGTCGCTGTTGCCGTACTCGCTCTCGCCTTGACCCTCACCAGAGCCAGTTGTTGGCTCGGCGGCGTCGCTCTCGTTTCCGCTGCTTGCGCCGTTGACGGCGCTGGCGGCAGCACCGCCGTGGGCCTCGTGGTGCTGGTCCAGCTCGGACGCCTCGTGGTTGTAGCCCGAGGCCTGGATAGCAACGTCGAGGTCGGAGACGCGGACAATGTCGGCGAGGTCCGGCGGAGGCACGTCGGCCTCGTACTTGAGCTTGGAGCGGAGGAAGCGGACGACGCCGTGGACGTCGCGGTCAAAGTACATCTCAGCATCCGGGTGGTTGGTGGAGACGATCTGCGGAAAGTCGATGACAACAATGTCAGACTCGTCGGCGGTGATCATAATGTTGAACTCGTTGAAGTCGCCATGGATGACTCCGTGCTCAGCAAACTTGACAACCATGGCTAGCAGACGCTCGTAGAGCAGTGCTGGCTCGTCAACAACTCGGACCTGCGAGAGCGGTGAGCCCTCGATGAGCGACATGACGACGCAGTGCCGGTTGTTCGCGATGGGGTCCGGGACCGGAAAGCCGGCAGTGTGCAGCGCAGACATGTAGTCAAACTCGCGCTTGGCGCTCAGCCGCGAGAGGTAGAGCCACGAGGCGTGGCTCCGGTTGCCGTGATAGTCACGGTTGTTCTTGATGGTCCGAAACGAGGTCCGCCCCAGCCGATGCAGCTTGAGCACCATCTGCTCGCCGGCCTCGTTGGCACAGAGGAAGATGTCCGACTCCTTACCGACTCCGACCTGATGCCCGACCGAGGCCACCTCCCCGGCCTTGAGCAGCGCCCGCAATGCCAGAAAGTCGTAGCCGAGAAAGGTGATCTTATATCCATCATATCCACGCTGCTCGTGATGAACGAGCTTGTGCTTGGCGAGCGTCCCGAGCAGCTTGTACACGCCGCCGTGCTTGAGCCCCGAAATAGACGAGATGAGCTCAGTCGGAACATACTACACCACAACAGCCACACGTCGACCATGCCCGTAAGTTGCTCCGCTTGTCTCTCCCTTCTCCATACCCATGCCCCGGCCATTCCTACACACGACCTGCCTTCCATCCTGGGACATCCCGCGACTCGGTCGTCGACGGCATGGTGGGGACAGCCATGGCTACCACCACGCACCCCCACACCCCATCATCGTACCTGGTGGTTCTTCATGCCCATCTCTACCGCTGTCAGGACTCGGAACTCCTTTTTCGTGATGTACCGCATCGCAGTCACGTCGAGCTTCATGTTGGGCCGTCGTGAGCCGAAGTGGGGTGGACGAGTCTGGCCGGTCCAGCCGAGGCTGGCCACCGGTGGGGTGGGGCACGACCACGCACCTCACCGTCACCCAGATACCATCACCATGGGTTTTGCCAAGACCGTAGCTGTGGTGAGCTTGACACTGGTTCTGGCTTATGCGATCCGCCGGCTGGCTGACTCCCGCCAGGCGACCATCCATGTCGTACGCAAGGGCGACGAGGTGGGCCAGGTCGTCACCACCCGCCTCAACTCGTTCCGCTCCGTCATCGACGCTGGCGACTTTGATGGTTATCGCAATCACGTGCTGCGGGTCCTTAGCTACGCGCTGCACTTTCTCGGCGGGCACGGCCGCGTCGATGCGCGAACCTCGGAGCTGGCCGCCATCGCGCTTGTCTACCACGACATCGGCCTGTGGACCGACGCCCGCCTCGACTACGTCGTCCCCTCGGGCCATCGCGCTGCCGACGAGCTTGAGGGCGAACTGACCGAGGACGAGCTGGCCATGGTTGTCGACGCCATTGTGTATCACCACAAGATCACTCCGTTTGACGGCAAGGATGAGGCGCTCGATCCGGAGCACGTCGCCTTTGTCGACGCCATCCGCAAGGCTGACTGGATCGACGCCACCATGGGCACAGTTCACCACGGCATGGCCCGCGCAGACATTGACCGCGTTTACGCCGTCCACCCACCGGCAGGCTTCTACACCACGCTTGCAGCGATCGGCCCGCGGCTGTATGGCTACAACGTTCCGCGCATTATGTGGGAGCTGGCCCAGATCGTGTACCTCTAGCCGTCGGGCGGGCCGGACTCGCCGTCGGCCACAGTGCCCCACCGCCTGCTGCCGCGAAGCGAGGTCCACACCACGTTCCTAGCCAGCTTGTAGCCCTCGAGCGCAAAGTAACCATCGTAAAAGTGCGCAATCGGTGCGCCAATAAGTGTCGTCGACACGCCGAGTGCCGCCATAAAACCAAAGCCCAACAGGTGCATGCCGAGTGCAGCCACAGTTGCCGAGCTCGTGTCATCGCCGACCACCACATCTATCAGAAGCCACACACCTCGCCATCCAGTCAGCGAGATGATGCCCATGACATACGTCCGCAACGCGAGCAGAGCCACCTCAGACATTGACATCGCTCCAATCACCGGCACGGCATGGGATGAGCTCTCCGACCGCTCGCTCGGCAGCTCGCTCCCGCTCCCAGTCGACCCGCCACTCCCACGGCGCTCCAACACGTCGGCAATCCATGGATCAATCAGATACAGTGCCACGCCAAGCACAAACGACATGACGAGGCATATTGTACCAGACTTGGCCTTGCTCTTCGGCTCGAGGTGGAGATCGAGAAGCACCCATCCACCACTGCATTGCCCCTCGCATGATGATGAGTTTCCCCCTCCCCCTCCCCTCCCCCGCCCCCTCTCGCCACCCCCCGACTCGCCGACCTACCGCCAAAAGCAGACAGTCCCTACGCCCAATGCCGCAAAGGTGGCAAGCCATGGAAGAAACGCCCCCATTTCCCACGACACCGCCCGATCTGCCCCTCCTCTTCCGGCTGCCGTCAAGTCCTCCCCGACTCCGTTCCCCCCCCCCCTCCCTCGCTCGGCCAAACTGTCGAGCTGAGCAGTTGGCTGCTGCTCCCCCTGCCAACGCTCTCCCCCTCTGCCCACGCGCGCACGTGCCGGTTGTCCCATCCCAAACATCACCCACTACCAGCTGGTCATCCCTATCCACCTCTGCCGCACTACGACCATATCGCAGCCTCGACCTCCGGGTACTTGCATGCCTCGAGCAAGCTGCTTGTCATCGCAGCTGTGCCCATCCCCCTACCCGACTTGGGGTTGGCCAACCCCCCCCCCCCC